AGTCTATGGTTGAATCAGCCAAAGCTTTTCTGAATTGATTCAGATGCTTCAAATGGATTTGGAGCTTTTACTTGGTCTCCCGATTCAATTTGAATTTGGAGATTTGGTCCCTGAATCGGGCTGAATCTCCTCCAAATCAGATCAGCTACCAAAGCTTTGCACAGCTCTATAAAACACTGGAGCAGGTTACCCAGAGAGGTGGTGGAAGCTCCATCCCTGGAGGTTTTCAAAACCCAGCTAGACAAAGCTTTGGCTGGGATGATCTAGATGGGGATGGTCCTGCTTTGAGCATGGAGTTGGATTAGATGGCCTCCTGAGGTCCCTTCCAACCCTAACTTTCTATGATTCTGTCAACAACTTTAAAAATGGATTCTCCTTTAAAGAAGAAAAACTTGGGAAACTATGGCTTTTCCCTTGCAGGCTGTCAGAGTTCCAGCCTGTAAGGAGCTGCTAGAGGCTCCCCATGCCGCACACGTTCCCCCCTGTCCCACACACGCACCCCCTGCCCCATATTCTGGGGTGCTGGGGGTAGGGAGCAGTGGGTCGGGAGTGAGGGGCACAGGGTCTAGATCAGCCATCAACATTTACAAATGGGTCCAGGTACAAAAAAGTTTGAGAACCACTGCACTAGGAGAGTGCCAGAAGTACCAATAAAAAGAAAGCAAAATATATCCAGGATGTGGGTGGTCTATACATCTGGCACAAAGGGGCTGTATGCAGATGGAGATATTCAGAGTTACCCAGCAGGTGGTTTGGTCTGGAGGAGTGGGCATGTCTAAACTAATAATTGTAAAGCAGGTGGGCTGGCGTTCATTGCAGTAAGAGCACATTGTCACGGCCATCGCTTATTGAGATCCAATTCTTTGTACATGATAGCTGGTTGGAGAAGTTTCATCCAAACCAAAAGCCAGTTTTGAGTCATGTTTGTGTCTGGGCCTGTTGAGAGTGAAGAGTAAAGTTTTAAGAAAGAAAGAAAGAAAGACAAAGACAGAAAGAAAGAATCGCACCGTACGTGACAAGGAGAGATTTGGTTCTACATATAATATTACACACGTAAGGAATAAGTCAGTGAAAAGTCTGGCTGTTTGTTAAACTGAGAAACCATCCGTGAAGTCTTCATGTCCAGCTTTACACAGCTGTGACAAAGCATATGCTCTGCTAATTCACATTACTTACTATTTAAAGGAGACGAGTTGCTTACATGAAAGTCAATACATCTGTTAATGTATTGTTTCATATTCTGTCTTTATGTAAACCTACTTGATTTTTTTAGTTGTCTTCCTCCTAATCGGGAGTAAAGTGCATTTAATAGCTCACTTAAGGTGTCATCCATTACTATGAGTTACCGTTAGACCTAATTAATAGAGCTGAGATTATTTTGTAATGAGAAATTGAAGTATTGCAGTGTTTAAAAAAAAATTACCATTCATACCTAATTAACGTTTAACAATGCGAATAAGCTGATAATTGTTTTTCAAGCCATAGAAAAATTCTGTGACACTTTATATACTACCTTTCTGGTCTTAATTGTTTCTGAAAGTATCTTGGAGTAAAGCAGGATGAAGAAATCTCACTTCATACAGTTTTAAGGTACAATGTAGGGTGGTCCAGCTCTCCTTGCTCCAGCGGGGCCAGGTTCCACCATGCCTACAGCAGACAGGTAAAGGAGACAGGAGAAGGAAATAGGGGGTCAAGGAGCGAAGCAGCGACAGAATTATGTGTGACTTTGTAGGCAAATTGTAGCGTAGAGGACTACTTAGGACAAACTGAAAGGAGCAAGGATTCAAGGAAGGAGATGATAAGGCAGGGAATCAGTTGAGAAGACACACCATTCAGTGAAGAACTGAAATACAGGGATGTTGAAGAGAAGAAACCTCCATAAAATGTAGCAATGGAGAGAGGAAAGGAAAGAGTTGAGAGAGATCATACCACACACAGTTCACTGAGGAGGGTGTCCCCAATCTTACAGGACATTACAAAAGTTAATGGGAGGGGAAACCCTCATATTTAAATATAGACGGGATCAATTCACCCCTTCATCAGCCTAGAAAGATAACATGCATGCTACACCGTTATTTGGACAAAACTTTGAAAACATTCTGCTTCATTTAGACAGCAAAGTGGTTTCTTGCTTGGTACAAATAAGGGTTTGCCCTGGGTTCTTTAGCCAAAATTTCCTCTCAGCTCCATATTAGTCCCTGGCTGCCATCTGGCCTGTCTCCTTTTACTATAGAGGGGAATTGCTGCATCTCCAGGGCCCAGTGTGCAGTGCTCATTAGCCAGTTTGGATCCTTCAGGATGAATGCTTCTAATTAAATAGACAATATCTCTATTATACACCTACTGAAGCCTGATCTGATTTTTAAGATGACAAACTGTGAAAGAAAGGGATAACTTAGGTATCTGTATTATTTTATCAGTATAAAGCCCCTCTCATCTCAGAGGTCACAGGGACCATTATAAACCAGTCCTATGAAAACTGTGTAGGGCAGGAATTGACAATCTGTGGCTCGAGTGTCACAAATAGCATAGGCAGCCTGTGTTTGTGGCACGTGGCAGATCAGGGAGGGGACAGGGCGAACACCAGCGCGCAGGGCAAGAAGCAGAAAGTAGAGCAGGAGATTGGGCTAGAAACACACGTTAGAGAGCAGAAAGAGCAGCAGATCAGGCAGGTGAAGGAGATCGGAGTGACACTTGTGGGGGGGCAGGGCTCATTTGTGGCACCCGTAGCAAACAGGTTGCCCCCCTCCCCATTGTGTAGGGTAGGGAAATAAGATTGTGTTCATTGAACAGTAGCTTATATTGAAACTATCTAAAGGGAGACTTTCAAATCGAAACCTCATTTGGGTGTGTTTGGTTTTTTGGTGGGGTTTGTTGGGTTTGGTTTTTTTTAAAAGAAAGGAGCAAAAACTACTTGATGTTAGTACACTGGCTCCAGAGTCCCCTGGCTATTTTATGTGGTATAAACCCTGCATTTTCCTATTTTAAAATATTTTTTTCTCCCTTGTTGCTAGGTGAAAAGCTGACATAAGCCAACCTACAAACTCACTCAGTACAGCTGTACTTGTAAAAAAAATAACAAGTTGGGAAATACAGAGAAAATAATTTTCTCTAATGTCTTACAGTTATAATCATCTTAAGTGTTAATTTGTAATTGTAGTTTTCATGTGTGAAAATAGAAGAGCTGAATTTATGGTGTCCCTTTAGGTTGTTTGCCCAAGGTCGCAGGAGTCTAAAATGTTGGGCTAGTACAAATTATCAAAGGCACAGTTGGGATTTTCAACACTGAATTCTGATTCCCAGTCTTTAGTGCTAATCACTAAACTACAGCCCTTCCCTGTAAATATTAAAAAGCTATTCTTACCTGATATAAATTGTAAGATCAATCATTCCCTTGCTATTAACATCGGTCTAGTAAATGAAATTTCATGTTAGCTTGCTTCGATCTTTAAATCTTCTGTATATTTTTTGTTTTATTTGAGGAGATGCTTTTAATGACAGAGTAGTTTTATTTTCATCAAAGTTTTCCTAAAAATGTGAAGTTTAATATTTTTGGTTGCATCAGTAGGTATTAAATACTCATTTATTTAACAGCTTTGTAGTAATATATACTCAACTGACAAGCGGACCATGAAGGCTCCTTATGCTGGTCTCCTACTAAGCACAGACTCATTACTTTATACACCTGACATTTTAAGTAGATCCAGATTTCTCTCCAGCGATTCAATGCCATTAACTGCCAGTGGTATGATCTACTATTGCCACTTTTGGTTTTATCTCTACGTTAGAGTTGTCTTCTGTCTTTGAATTGTCAGACAGCATAAATCATCCTCCGATTCACAGGCACCACTAGCTTTGCAGAAGGAAAGTGTTCCTTGATGACTCTCTATTTTTTTTCAGTAGATTGTTAGATATTTTTTGTAGTCACATTTTTATCCACATGGTCTGATCTTTTTTTTTTTTCCTTTTTAATCATCACTTTCCTTTACGATCATCAAACAGTGAGAAATAGATACTTTCCCTTCCTCTCAGCTGAAGTAATGTCTCATTCCTGCAAAGTGGGTATCAGCCTGTCTCTGAAGAAAACAGGATTTTCTCAGAGGCCTGATATACATTCTAATGGTAATATCACACAGTCATCCCTAAGGGACCACAGCACTAACTCCAATGACATGTTGTGTCTTGCTTGAAGTGTGAGGCCCTGGAGTCATGGTATTTTGTGAAAATCCTAATTTTCATTAAAAAAAAAAAAAAAAAAAGTTTCTAGCCCTCCTGGTTGAAGAGAAAAGCTTGCAGTTGTGACCTTAGTAAAATCCTAAAAGTGCTAAAACCAGTAATTTTTAATGACTTTTTTAGACAACCTAATGATCTGGGGGAAGGTGCTTAAGTCATGATTTTTGAACAATTGAGTTGCTGTTACTGGGCAAGTCTACACAAGATGCTAAATGTACAGTAGACTAATTCTACTAAACATTAGCGCTCATGGCAAAAGCCATGCTATAGCTCTAATGCAAAGTAGAATTAGTCTACTGCACATTAGCATCACTAAAAAGGTGTGCACCGCTGTGCAGCAGTGCCAGTTAATGCACATTCAGTTAGTACCTGTACTAACAGGTACTAAACTTAATGCACAGTAACTACGGCACATTAATGAACATGTAGATGAGCATTAATCAGGCATTGAAATAGATGCACCTAGAATTAATGTGGAATTAGGGACACAAGGAAAATTATGATACTTAAGTTTTGATCATGGAAAAGAGTGTAGGTCAGGGAGAGGTTAGGGGTAGTGAAGTTTTTTCCCCTTTTCACAGTTGCTAGATTAGTTTGCCTTTAGCAGATATCTTGTTTAAATTAATGATAATAAACTGGTGGTTATGAAGAGTCTAATTGTTATCTCTTTTCACACTGGCTCTACCATCTATAGAAGATATTGTTAAAAACCTTTTGGATACTCTGCTAATTGGCTACTTTCTTCCCTTGCTCCCTAAGTTCAGCCAGAGCTGTAGATTGTTCTTACTTGCAGTGCATCTAAGTATTAATATTTTTCTCTTTCAGATTGACATGATCACTGAAGACAGCCTGCAATCTTTATCATGCTAAAATTATTAGATACCATACAATTAAGACATTTTTAAATAAAAAATATGAGCAATTATAATAAACATTTAATGTGAATATTCTGAAAAATTTGCATTGTAAACCTTTTAAAAAAATATTGATTGAAGGTCTTTGCTGTCTTTTAAACTACTATAATACCTATAAAACAGATTTTAAAGGAGGGGTAGCAGTATTTGCATCTGATACCAAAAATATAGCCATATAATATAAATATACATACTTTAATCAAAATAATCAAAATAGATCTGATTTTCGCATGTATGTAATATAAAATTGTTTTGGACATTTACATTTCTAAATGCAACCTATAAAATGAGGAAACAGTTGGCAAAAATGCTAAGAAACCTTCCTGTTTTGAGACTCATGCTACTGTATTTCTCCATTACGTCTGTTAACAACTATACTAGAAACAAGCAGCAGATTTTTTCCAGTCTGTGAGTAATTGTCTGCACAGCAGTGACAGATGTGCAATATAGCAGCTTCTTCAGGAAAAAATTAACAGTTTGTCCAGCATGTCAGCTCGCTCTTTTTAGTGCTTCGGAGGTCTTGGCCCCATTATGGATGATTTAGAAATTGAGGCAAGCTAAGACCAGCTGCCTGAGTTGAAAGCCTTAGTTAGTAGGCCTCATCTGCATTCCAGTATTCACTTACATCTAGAAATTGGTAGGGCCCCTCTGGCCACAAGATGAGTATGGGCTGACAATGCCTTGATTTGTTGAGAGAGAGAATAAATGGGTTTTTCAGAAGATGAGGAAATATCACCATTACTGGCCAATTTACAGCATTTTATCTGTTCTTCAAACATGTCACTTTTGTTATTGTTGCATGGTAATTACATAGTGAAACGGAAAGAAAACAAATTCTGGTTACATATTCAGATGGATTGCAAAATCATATAATCCTGATAAATGCCCATTTATGATACACACGGATGAAAGGTTCATTTTAATTTTGAATAGCTAGCACAGCCATAAATAGGATATAGGATTAGATCCCACAGAATCCGATTACCTAAGAGCAAATAGTATTTTTCTTCACTTTTTCATAACAAACAGATTCAGTGTGTGCAAGGTATTGAAATAAGTAGGTTTTTCAGAAAATATATGAAATAAATATAGACCAATATTTTTTTTAAATATAACACCACTTAAGACTACTCAGCTCAGTCTTGCCGAGAGTGCTTATAGAAAGACCTCAACGCTTGAAATGGTCTCACACATGTCCCTTACACATTGCAGAAGCTTGAAGAAAGCAGAAGTAGCTTCGCTCATCAGATATCCAGTAATAAAGTAATGAGCACAGGATAACTTATCCTTCACATTCTATAACCATCTACGTTTTATAGCATCTCTACCAACATTTTAAAAAAGCTTAAGTCCATGTGATCAATTTAGACCAGCGATTCTCAATCAGGGTGCCAAAGCATAGTGTTAAAATCCATAGTGTTAATAGCATTCTGACCTGCTGTGGTCTTTCTGAGTTCTTTGCAACAGAAGAATTGCACTGCTTTTCTGTGCTCAAAAAAAAGTGAAAATTAAGAGCTGGCATTTTCCAAGGGGTCCTCTAGTCAAATGAGGGCTGCTTTGAGTCTAAACTGGTTGAAACCCACTGATTTAGAAAGAATTTCTGACAGTATTAAGAAAACATTAATCATTTCTAAGCATAGCTGTCATGCTAGAAATTATAGATCATTAAATCATTAATTAGGTGTCTATTCTTCTATGGGGGGGCAGACTTATGCATGTAATTTCCACTGAAGTTATGCAATTAAATCTTCTTACATACATAGAAAAAAAAGACAGTAAGATTCTCTGCTTCCTAAGTCTTATGCTCCAGGACTGATGACTAAAGTATCCTTACCCATGCCCACCTCTTGAATCAGATGGCGTTTAATGGAGTTTACTATTGGTTCATGGTAGGACCAGAAAAAGTGAGCATCTGTGTAGCTTTCATGTAATCATGTCTTCTCTCACCAGCGGGTGTCACTGTACTCAAGCAGAATCTTATGTCATTTTGTGAGGCTAGTAAAGACAACTTTGAAAGAGTTGAACAATCTTGTACAGAAATTCTTACCTAAATGTAAAATCTTTCCAAGGAAGTAGAGATTTCAATGCTCTAGTGGCAACTACATGGTCAAAGTATCTGTAGTGCCACATCATGCTAGGCCTGTTTAGTGTAGTGTTTTAAGACTCAAAGATGCATTAAGTTCCAGAATTGAAAGTTCACGAAGATGTTTGTGTTCCTGTCACAAAGGAATAACATTTGGCAGTTGTTAACTGCTTAAAAGTCAAGGCAGTTGCTTACCTGTGTAAAAGTCAATGTTTATATGTGTGTGTCATAAACATGACTAGGTGCCAGCAATCTGAGCAACTAACCTTTAGCTAAATCTGCTCTGAACTGATTAAGTGGTATCTCGCCTGAACTTGTCTGACAATGTACCCATCTGAAGATTTACAGATTTAGGTCACTTATTACAGGTTAGATTACAGTTTATAATAAGCCTGAAGTTGTTGCAGAGGTGAATATTATAAATGACTGGTATCATTTTTTTTCATTTACCTTCAACCACGTTTCTAATCATTTATGCTTGCTCCTCCCACTTTGGCAACTATCGAATCAGTATCTAACCTGGCACCAAGACATTTCTTCACATACTGTCATTTCCTAATGGGACAATGAATACATAGTACAACCTAAGCAATGTAACTTAGAGCCCAGGAGTCCCTCTACAACTGCGTACTTTCCTCCTGGAATGGTGGTATGGCATGGATTATGCTGGGGGCCATTGAACAAGGAGAAAACAGTTGTTCTTTCTAAAAGCTGACACTACAGCTTTGCATGCTGCATACAGTTCTAGCTATCTCAATACTCGGCAGATTTTATACAAGTTTAAAGGAGTGCAACAAATGAGATTAAGGAGCTAGGTGGACCAATTAAGAAAAAAATCATTAAAAGAACTAAATATACATGGACTGTTTTGACATGTACCTAATGCGGGTTATGGTCATCTACAGCATTTAAAGAACATAAACAGCACAGAGCGACAGGAATGTTTTAGTGTTGTACAAGTGAGTCAGGCAAAGATACTATTATAAGGCATGTGTTTTATGGCACTCCTCTGGTGGCTCTATCAATTTCTAGCCCTTCTATGAGGAGGAGGGGACAGTGCCATTCACTGAGTTCACTGACTGGTTCAGTTGAGATCCCCTGTGGGCACGCAGGCTAAAGGAGAAATTAGATTTCCATCCAGAGTGAGGCAAGCTGTTTGCAACCTAAAATGTTAGCTATATCTATTCCTTCTCCCAAGTACTGTGCACACACACACTGCATGGATATATCCAGACAGCCAGGGGCTTAGCCACTCCCTTAGTAGGTGACATTCCCTGAGAAAGTGCTAATTTCCAAAGCAATCTTTTAAAACATCAAATTTGCAGGTCTAGCTAGGCTGAAATGGTTCTTGAGGCATTACAAAATTGAGACACACTGCATTTTAAAATTTCATTTGTGTGCTGTTAAGCAAAATCCTTTAAACTTTAATGAAATTTAGAGCTATTTCCCATTCAGCCCTCAGAGGTTATTCATACAATTGTATGCATGCATAAGAGAGGGTATAAGAAAGAGTAGTTCTCTGCTATGGCGAAGTATTGCCTGATTTTTTTCTTTACTTAAAGATTTCCTGCTGACTTACACAGATCAAGCAGAGTCCTAGATGTAACATGTGCTGCTATAATCTGACTTTTAACAAACATCTATAGTGGCATTTAAAATTGGAATAATATATGGCCATCACTTTTTAAAAATACAGTTTATCAAGGGAGAAATTATGAAGAAATCTTTTTTTTCCCCTATTATTATTATTGGCCTGAATTTCTGAGTAGTGTTGAGCCTTCCATAATAAGCTGTCATCTGGTACAATTGCCTCTGAATATGGCCTCATATTTGATTGTAGGGTCTGGAACATCAGACAGTAGGAATGCAATGCTTAAGCTTCCTCGCTTATTGCCTGCTGATGTACAAATACAGGATTTTGCAATTTACTCTAAAGCCTTAGTTTCTTCTCCTATATATGCCCACTCTGGGAGGTACTGTGTGTGCAACCATATGAGGGCAACAGGGAAGTCGCAAAGGATTTGATAAAGATAAAATAATAGCAAAGGTGTAGAGAGAGTTCATACCTGGAAGTGCAGATTTCTCAAGGGGTCCTTAAAACCATTCACCACCAAAGAAACCTCATAAATGCTGGAAACTAACAGCAGGTCACCAGTGAAACAATTTAATAACAGGAATTAGAATGCATCTATTTCATATGGTGTCAGATTGGCAAATATCCAAATCCCTGACCCTGTGCCTCTCTTGAGTAATAGGTTTTAGTATGAGGTGAGGTCCTGTGGAAAATGCAAGGAAAAACTTGACCCCATTATTTCTTCATGCTGCATAGTAGTGTAGTACTGCCTTACCAAAGTCACTGGTGCCATTGTAGCAGTGTCCACAACCCCAATGGCTTTCAGCATCTCTGTGAAGCAGAGAAGGATTGTGTTAGTCTCAGGAGCCAAATACCACAAAACTACAGACTGTGGTCTCAGGTCTTTAATAGCCCCAGGTTAAGTTAACAGCATATAAGGGCTGTGGCTTCACTAGCCAGGCTTAGATGAATGGGGTTGTGGTTTAAGTATTAGATTAACTGCTCAATATTCCCAGGTGTGCCACAGAATTTGAGTGTGACCTTGGGCAAATCACTTAGCTTCTTTGTGACTTAGTTCTCCACATGGGAACCATAACTCAGTTTCCCCTGCATCTTTCTCTGCCCTTGCTTTGTTCCTTGATTCAGCATCATCCTAGGCACAGCATTAACTGGAGTAGGCAACTGACTTTTTCAACCTTAGGCAACTGGCTTCTTTAACCTGTGCCTGCCAAAGTGGCATATCTCAGTTCCACTGTGCTCCTTCTCCTCCTGATTAATCCTCTTTCCACCCTCCCTCCTCCAAAAAACAAGCTAAATGCTAAACAGAAATTTTGTAGAGTAGGTGGCAGGGGTGGTTTGCCAGGTTTGCTAAACATAACAAGGGTGGCCAGCCAGGTTTTCTAAACCTTCAGCTAGGTTTGCTAAACATAAACTGACTCATCCAGCATTTGCTCTGTATCTTGGTTGAGAATTCATACCTTCAAACAACATTTCTCTCCCTTCTGGTTTGTGTTATAAAGGGGCTGTGATTAAATGAGAATGGTCATTACAACTTCCAAGCAAAGAAAGTGACATGTAAAATATCCTATAGTAACTCTGATAATACATTTGTCATATGT